TACAGTTTCATGACTAGAAGTGGTAATGTTTAACTTTATTAGTCCAACTGGATATAAATATTTCATGTAATACAAAGACTTCTGCAATCTGATCTAGTTAATCTCAGAGAGAATTTGTTGATCATAGAAGCGAAATTAAATTTTAGAAACATTCAATACACTTTAAAAAACGACTTATGTTAAAACCTAAAAATGATTGAAAGCAGTCTTAGAATAGTTAACACAAAACACATGTTCAACAGATAGGTAATGATGTAATCAAAATAACTACCAAGTGTTTGGTGTTGCCTCAGCTTGTTGCTTTTCTAATTTTGCTTAAAATGGTTATTTTATAACATTTGGTTATGATAACCTTATCATTTCATTTGTTTCGTATCTGCAAGATATTTCTAAGTTTGTGTTTGATAATCCATTGAATTATGACACCAAATAGCTTATTTTTTTATCTAATGATTTTTAATTTACAATCAAATATATACTTTTTTGTTTTTTAAGGACTTAATTGGCTTGTATTAGACAGTTATAATTATATATTGTTTAGTAGTCTTCACGAGCACCTGTGTAGGCCTAATGTGTAAGCCTAAATGCTATTTAAAAAAGCAGTTTTCTATTTGTACTAGTGTATTCAGTAAAGGACTCGTACTATACAGAAGACAACACCCTTCAAGGTATAATAATGTTTGGTTCCTTAATGTTCTTTATTGTTCTACCAGTCCATAATCAGACAATGAAGTAAAGTGTTCACAGTTTACTCAGATATACAGCTATGTTTTCTGTTTAGACGGCTGTGTAAACTAAAAAAAAAATTCTGTTAAATGTAAATTTTTTTAACATTTCTACATATCAGTTTGTCCACGTTATATTAAGACCCACAATAGGATCTACAAAATGAATTGTTTATATTTATATACATGCCAACAAATAATAATTATAACATATTTTATGAGGTTGTAACAACCTATGTTTTACAAACACTTCACATCTATATCATTATATAACATGCTGGTAATTGTAACGTATGTTATGAATCTATAACGTGGTCTGTGACCGTTGGTAACGCAAGTGATAAACAAAGAATGCGCTAAAAAGGCTGTTTGACCAATCACATGAATTTTAAACCAGACTTTATCTGTACTACAGAAAATGTAGCTGAAAGCTTTTATCAGATTATAATTTTTGTTCCTAACGCATTTTAAAAAGTTTGTATTTCATAAAGAAAATATGTTTTTAGGTTTTTTTTTCAAGCAACAGATGGCACTGCTGAGATCAGTCCTTGGACGTAAATCTTAAAACTGAGATTGCGCAGAAAGAGAAAGGTTAACTGAAATAACTGAAGTTCTATTTTACTAGAGAACACAACAAATAAACATAAAATTAGTGTAGTGGTATTACTCTTTTGTTAATAAAGATACAGAGAAGGAAAGCAAAACGATTGGCGTTTTCATAAACTTGACAAAAGGTCAAGTAAAATACCTCCAGGTGTTATAAGTCTTGAATTGAGATGGTACAGAGAGCATACTTACTTGTGAAGCGCTTGCTTCTTTCAAATAGTTGACTGTGGACTGAAGACTCTGTATATCATCAGCTAGCTGGGAAATCTGAAGAAAATGACGTTTAAAATTAAATAGAAAATATACACAAAGCTTATATTTTAAATTACACAACAAAAACCATGAGAGAGAGAAGCCTTTTATCTTATAGAAATCACCAAACGACTTTCTACAAATCTTATATGAAATTTGTCCTATCCACATATCTGTTTAGTAAAAGCAGCAGAAACACCGTTTCATCACTTAAGCTTTTTTTTTTAAATAATATTTACAATTATAGTATAAATGCGATCATTATAGAACAGTGTTTCTCAGCCAGATTTGACAGACGACCCCCGCGTCCGGGCTTTGGTCGCTACGACCTCCCATTATCTCTACAAGGATGAAAAAGTTCTGGATGTTTCTTGGCGCAGTTCGTCATAGTTCATAACAAAGGTGTTATGTGCATCTCACAGGCACCTCGAGGACTAAAAAAAGGGGGTCGCGACTCATCTTGTGTGAAACACTGTTCTAGAATGTGAAGATCTGAAACAAAATATATATATATGTCATTAATGAAATATCTAGAATCATAATCATCGACAGCGGAAAATTAAAGTTTCTGAAGCACTAAGTAAAAAATTAAATTAATATTTTCTGAAAAATCCTGAAAATTAAAAAAAAATTAATATCATATAACACACACTTGGTCAAGAAGATATTAACTTAAAATAATTTGAATGGTGTCATAATATAGTTTATTAGAGAGAAGATGAAATAACAAATTTAATCAGTTAATAATTACTACGAAGTCAATAGATGGCGCCACCTACAACCTTACCTCATTTTCCTTTGCAGCTAGTTCGGTCTCCAAAGAAGACCGACTGAATACTCCCACAGCTTTCTCCATGACGGGAGCTCTTTGAATCTGAACAGTCAGTTGTAGAGTCTGTTTGGTGTTGTCAAACCGCTCTTTCAGCGTAGACACCTCTTTCTTGTTCAGTGTTGCCCTCTAACGGAGAAAACTAACATTAACAACATGCAAAGTACATTTTCAGGGAAGTAAAAATTATTCTTAAAACTGCAAGGTCAATGAACTTTTGCACTTACTTGATTTTGATTTCTAAAAGTTTTAAAAAGCGGCAAGAATAATATAAGGTTCAATATATGTTCAAAACTCCCCAACAATGGTAAAACATCAAAAGCAGAACATATATATATATATACTACCTTGTTATTAAAGATGGAATATTTTCTAGATCTTCCTACATAAAAATGTATCGTATCATTTCTCCTCAGGAATATTATACTTATATAACCTAAACTTTCTTTGCCCAACATATTTTACTGTTTTTAGCATAGAATAATCAACTCTGTAAGTTGTCATGAATGAATAATATTCTGATTTACCAGTTTTTCAAGAAATGTCACGTGTTTTTGTAATATTTTGAATGTATATGTTACAAAATGATAAATCACAGTCGACTTGTCCAAGATCAATGGAATTGGAATTTTCAAAACCGTAACATGCACACGTGGGCTAAACGGTCAGGTCGTCAGAGGCCCGGGGTTCAGATAGGGCCGTCCCAAATTCTGAACTAATGAATGAATTAAGAGCAGTCAGCCAGAAGTACTCGCCACCACAAAGGCTTATATCCGGCTCTTTGAAACGAGTGACAGGATTTGACTGTCATTTCTACAGCTGAAAGTGTAGAACATGTCCAGCTCGTCTCGAAACTTGGACCATTCAATCCGCAGTCCGACACCCGGCCCCAAGGGTTCATTATGTCGTTTTTAAACTGTATCAAAATTATCTAATATTGCATCCGTAAACTAAATTGTAAAGTCAATAAGAGGATAAGAAACTAGTGCCGTTTGATAAAATAACTAATGGAGTCAAGAGTGGCATTCCTTCTTCTATATTTATTCAGCAACTTCTCAGGTGAGCTTTAAGGTTATTTTCAGCTGTGTTATGTAATTTTTTTCCGAATGCCTGCTACGCTGGGTACCCTCAACTCAACAGTAACACGTGAATAAACGGCCTGGTAGGTATAAAAGGACGGCGGGCCGAAGGAAGATTCGCTGTTGAAATTATCTAGCTGCTACGTTTGATGATAAATGTATGAATGAATTGAGAAATAGGCAGACGAAGAAACTTAAGGACAAATAACATGCGGGAAAGTGGCTAAAGAAAGAGGCAGTTGGATAACTAGATTTGTTGTTAGACAAGGAGGGAGGGATGACAGCTTGAATGATGAAAAGTTGGAAGTATTGGCAAAATATTGTGATAGATGAATACGAATGGACAGAGTGGAGGTCAAGTGGATCAATGATTGGTCAGCTTAAGTTGCTAAGAAACTACTAGGTATAGATAAGTCAAAGAACGAATTGGTACTTAAAATAAAAACAAAAACAGATGTGCCTGACATAAACGACATACAAATAGAGGAATAAACTAAAATAAAGGAGGTTAGGCTATATTGTTTGAGAAATTTTAAATGGTTGCAAAATTTTATTTCAGATCGTAAAGAAAGAAGTTCTTTATATATCCGTACAAAAAGACGCTATAGTACATGACGATAAACTAGGTTTAATTTCAAACTGTATGTTTTAGTACTTTTGCAAAGTAACTTAAATATTGCATATTAGAGAATCTAAGGTTGTTAATTTGAATCTATTTTGAACGTGTACTGCACTCAAGAGATTATATCCCATGCTTCCAAGTATCTGATCGAAGGTTTAGACCCGCCAGTTGTTTGCTTGCATGGTTAATTACATAATAAAAACAAAAATTTTCAATAAGATTGTCAAGCGAAAGCAGATCACGATATCCAATCACTTGTGAGACAATTATCCTGTAAGATGATACTCGAAAATCAAGAATGACGCGTTAAAACTACCAACCAAATGACAGACAACAAACCATTATAATTGAAATGATTCCAAATCGTCCATATCGACATCAACCAGGGAAATTAATATCATCTTTCATTTGGACTTTAAACCTTCCATATTTGCGTGATAAAAATGGGGAACTATTTAGCTTAGTGTCATCTTGTGATTAACAATCACAACCCTTATAGGATGAGAGTAGTAGAGTAAACGTTAGAAGGATATGTGGGTGTAAAATTTAAACTAACAAATATGACGTAGGAAATTTTACGATTCTTCCTGTTACAATGCCCCCCAGTGGCATAGCAATATGTCTGAGGACTTCCAACGCTAAAATCCGGGTTTCGATACCTGTGGTGAGTAGAGCACAGATAGCCCATTGTGTAGCTTTGTGCTTAATTACAAACAAACAAACAAACTTTTACAACACATATGTAAAGAGCTAATGAAATAACTGGGTGAAATTACATTCTATGTAAAATACATAGCAGTACTTAAAGGGGTTCATTGCAATACCGACGACATTTTTTATATCTTCTGCATGATTCATGTTTTATTAGAGGTCCTGTTACCTTTAACAGTATTTGAAGTATTTCAAAAGGCGACGAGGTCCAGAAAGAAATACATGATAATATTAGGGATTATAAAAAACAACAACAAACTATTTTTTCTTTGCTGTCTTACCTGATGAATCAGTCAAAATCTGTTATAATACCTATTTCTCATGATTAGATAATTATTAGACTAATAAATACAATATTCCGCTCAAGTTGGAAGCTTTTGAATAAACGACAAACCTGACCTTAGTCTTACAAACAAAAGTCCTGCTATTGTATAACTGCAGGCTGGGTTTTATAAGCTTTACAAGTTGAGACACCCGTCTTACTTCTGGGGGCATAAGGATTGAATGTAGGACTTGAACTACTAAGTTAAATAAATAACTTGTATTTATGTACATAATCTGTTTTACAACTACTTTATTTAACATCCGCTTTATTCCACATTTCAGGAATGGTGTTACAATTACTGAATTTTGTTAGTTGTACTAATCCCTCTACAGCCTCATTGTTTGTTGATACTCTAAGGGTTTCTTGATAAACCACATCAGAACTTATTGTTTGTTGATACTCTAAGGGTTTCTTGATAAACCACATCAGAACTCATTTGTTGGTACTCTGAGGGTTTTTTGATAAACCACATCAGAACTTATTGTTTGTTGATACTCTGAGGGCTTCTTGATAAACCACATCAGAACTCATTTGTTGATACCCTGAGGGTTTCTTGATAAACCACATCAGAACTTATTGTTTGTTGACACTCTGAGGGCTTCTTGATAAACCACATTAGAACTCATTTGTTGATACCCTGAGGGTTTCTTGATAAACCACATCAGAACTCATTTGTTGATACTCTGAGGGCTTTTTGATAAACCACATCAGAACTTATTGTTTGTTGATACTCTGAGGGCTTTTTGATAAACCACATCAGAACTCATTGTTTGTTGATACTCTGAGGGCTTTTTGATAAACCACATCAGAACTTATTGTTTGTTGATACTCTGAGGGCTTTTTGATAAACCACATCAGAACTTATTGTTTGTTGATACTCTGAGAGTTTCTTGATAAACCACATCAGAACTCATTTGTTGATACTCTGAGGGCTTCTTGATAAACCACATCAGAACTCATTGTTTGTTGATACTCTGAGGGCTTTTTGATAAACCACATCAGAACTCATTGTTTGTTGATACTCTGAGGGTTTCTTGATAAACCACATCAGAACTCATTTGTTGGTACTCTGAGGGCTTTTTGATAAACCACATCAGAACTTATTGTTTGTTGATACTCTGAGGGTTTCTTTATAAACCACATCAGAACTCATTTGTTGGTACTCTGAGGGCTTCTTGATAAACCACATCAGAACTCATTTGTTGATACTCTGAGGGCTTTTTGATAAACCACACCAGAACTCATTGTTTATTCATACTCTGAGGATTTCTTGATAAACCACACCAGAACCCATTTGTTGATACTTTGAGAGCTTCTTGATAATCCACACCAGAAGCTCCTACTCCTTCCTGGGCTGAATAAATATATTTCTTGGTGATCCTACTTTTGAACACTCAACATAGAACTGACCATGTGTAAAGCAAGGGGTTTTCAGATGTAGCCCTGTCACTTTAGGGGTCTGACCTTGTGCTTTGGTTGCCTTTTTTCCTGGTAAAAATTTGAATATTTGGCATTTTTAATGAAAGAACTGGAAATTTTCCAAGAAAAACTCAAAATAAAAAAATAGGAATAAATATTGGTCCAACACTGTGAAGTAATTAGCTAAACAAGCATATTTTTCCTGTGGCCATGACACAGAGTAGGTGTAGCTGGGTAGCTATTACCCTATGGCATACCCTTTGATCCATTGTATTATTCTACCAAGTTTGGTTGTGGTTGGTCCAAAGACCAGACAGTAGTAGTTCGCGGACAAAAAAAAATCAAAAAAATCTATTACTATTTTTACTTTTATAAGTATAAATAAAAACTTATGATGATACAATGTGACGTTACAATATCTGAGGGGATATCACGGTGGATAGTGCTTTGGACTTGTTGTCAGAAGGTTGTGAATCCGTTGCCCTACCGCTTTTTTTTAGCGTTATAAATCCGCAAGCTTACTGGAAGGGTGCTCCAGTATGCACTACAATATCCAGGAAACTGAAAGATGAAACTCATAACGATATTCAACTTTACATACCGTACGAAACATTGCAAGATTTGGTACTTTCTGTGGCTCTGCATATAGGTGGCCTAAAAGCGTACGTATCATTTAAGGAAAAAAAAAGGAGTTAAAAAGTCCTATGGCCTACGTTAAACAAGGAGGATAAACGGAAGGAAGATACAGCTGAATGTTAACGATCGTACATTTTGAACAGCCGCAGGTTTCATCGCGTCCAGTCATTAAGCACGTCCCTCAGAAACTCCAGCATTAAGCCTCTGTACGCCATCACCTGTAAGCTAAGGCGACGTTGCCGAAAACTAGGCCTGACAAAACAAAGACTGCTGTTGGTTTAGGAGACGATAAAATATACTACTGTACACTGAACCGTTGGTCAATTTAAAAGCGAGT